AATTTTTTTGCCATCGATAAAAGATTGAAAGTGGTAATCATATTAAACATTTAATAATAAAATGCATTATATTTTAAAGAGAAAATTTTCATTAGCTAAGAAATGTAAACTAAGAGCATATGTGCAGATTAGTAACTATCTATTTCTAGTCAGTGTGGAAATGTGCCAGTTCCTCTTTCTCACCAACATAACTATAAAGGTTCCTCTTTCTCACCAACATAACTATAAACGGAAATACACTGCACAAAAAGTAGGGGGGACAGTTCTATATCTCCCTTTCTACTGGTCCAATTAACGAAATTCAAATTGCATTTTTCATGTCTCAAAAGTGTGATTTAGGATATGTATTATATTTATATATATCACATTGTTCTAATATAAGTATTTTGACACAAAAATCTAACTTTTTCTGAAACGACATGCCAATTGTTTTCCATATTTCGATTCTATGACTCAAATTATGCTAAACTGCCAAGTTTTGTAAAAATCGCATGAGTAGTTTTTAAAAAATTAATTTTCAAAATTTTAGCTCCTCAGTGTTAACCCTTTGACGCGTGCGATATTATTTTTACAATTTTTTTAACTAAAAACTCTAGAAATTGAATATTATGATTCTAGAGACAAATAATATATGAATTAAAAAAATCTACTCTTTCCCATTGTTTTGTGGGTGGTGGTTGCACTGTGAAACCACCACACGTCTAGGACTTTGGAACTTACCTAGGTAGTAGGGAAAAAAACTTACCTTTTTCCGTGCGCGTTTCCAATAAATAACGAAATTTACGAATTTTTTAAACAAATGCATGTAAGAATTGCATAATATATATATTTTACATTATTTTACAAACTAAATCGTCAGAAAAAATTTAAAAATAAACATTTATGTAATTTTTCTATAGCAGTGAAAGTATAGGAATCTACATAATAAGTACGTTTGGCTACATGGATTAAAAACCTCAGTAAAATAGGATTAAAAAAAAGACTCGGCGTTTTTTTTTTTTTTTTTAAATTTCAAAGAACAAATATTTTTTGTGACACTGTTCAAAGATATTTTGTCTTTTTAGTACATGCATAGACTCACATTGCATGTTTCGCACATGTATCTTCCATGATGTTTCTTCCTTGTGCTACAAAATGTACACTGATTGGATCTAAATTTCCCCAGTTTATGTCCAGCGTTATTTAGTTTCCTTTCATCTGGCACGTGACATTTGTGGTTTTTTTTATGTTAATGAGGGGGAGGGCTTGGTCTTTTTGGCTTTAGTACGGATCATTCATTTCCCATTCATACTTATTTTATTTGTATTTCGTCTCAAAATATTCAGAAAATATTTTTAATTTAAATAAAACTTTACGCAATTTCTATTTTTAATTACAGCAAAGTATATTTACATTAAATTTAAACCACAGGAAATAATTTATAAAATCACAATACTAGCTTGGGGAGCAAGTTTGTTGAGGTCAGAGAAAAGTTTCTGGAAAAGAAAGACCTTTTTACTGGTCAGGTGCGTGTATTGTTTAGTAATAAAATAACTCTGTGATTTCAAAACCCCTTATCTATATCCGGGTAAAAAGAAATATTCCTATTTGAGAAGCAAGCAAATGCCATTGTAAAGAGCAGTGGTTTCAAGGTGCGACCACCAATTGTGACACAATGCTCTAGTGGGGGCAGTGGTCGTGCCCTGAAACCACAAAGCAAATGCCATACATATAGAGGGTTTTTTTTTTATATATATATATAGTTTAATTATTGCTATTTTTTATTGTTTATGATAGAAATCATGGTGTGCGATGAATAACTTTTCAAATTTAAAGTTGTTTATATTAATAAAAGTAAGTTATTTTGTCTCATTGAAAACGAATTTTAAAAGGCATCCGATTTGAAGTACTAAAACCTAAAACATGTATGATTCTGAAGTCATAATCAATTTATTACATTTATGAATTTCTGAAGAAAGAGGAGAAAAAAATTCGAAAATTGGTGGTTTCAGGGCGCGACCACCGCACGTCAAAGGGTTAATTGAAATTGATATATATTTACTAATATCTCTTTTTTATATTAAGCTACTTGATTCCTTCTTCCTGAATTCAAAATTTAGGTTCATTCCAAATAAAATTCGCCCATTTTTTTATGATTTATTTTTAAAATTTGTATTTTAAATAGTTTTTATAAATTTTTGAAAAAATTTTGAATTGTAACCTATAAAATTTTTACCATCATCTTAAAGTAGATGTATATCTAGGCATGCATCCAAAAAATTAGAATATTTTATCAAAATTTCCTAGGATATATGTGAATTTGCATACTGACACATTTTGAAATTTGGCATATTTGTTATAAGAAATAATAATGCCAAATGTGTTTACGCACTTTGTTAAAATTATTTGAAATAATGAAGGATGACTTTTTTTCTGTTCGTTTGAAATGAAAAAAGGAAAGGCAAAGAGTTTGCTATAAATTAAAAAGTTCACCAAGTAAATTATTTTTGGCACAAACTAAAAAAATGCTCCAAGATAAATTTCAGAATTTCTCTGTAAATTTCGCATCACATTTTACAAAATTTAATATCTAGGCATAATTTGAATCATAGGATCGAAATATGGGAAAAAAATTGCATGTTATTTCAGAAAAAGTCCAGTTTTGTGTCAGAATACCTATATTAGAACAATACTATATATATAAATCTAATATATATCCTAGGTCGCGCTTTTGAGGCATGAAAAATACAATTTGAATTTCGTCAATCGGCCCAGTAGGACAGGAAATAAAGAACTGCCTCCCTTTTTTTTGCATAGTACATATAGGGTACAATAAAAGGATAGTAAAGGAAACCTTTCCTTTTTGTAATTAAGCAAAAATTCTACCTACTTTTATTGAATTGTTTGATTGCATGTATATTATTATTTTCTCTATATATTTCTTTCCTTTATAGTAATATGTCAGATGAATTAAGTTACTTTGTAACCTTTTAAAATAATGGTCTCAGTATTCATAACACACCATTAAAATATATGAAATAAATTTTCCATATATAATTGCCAATTTTTTTCAAAATTATAATGTATATATGTTCTATTAACTATTGTTTTATTCTAAAATAAAGATAAGCAAAATAAGTAGAATTACGAAAACTGAAAGACACTATTTTACACCTGAATTTTTTAACACAATGTTGGGTTTCATGTTTGTGGCTTGATTTTGTAAACACCAATTTTAAGAATGTTCTTTCATCCTTGCTAGAATGTCTTTTGAGCATTATATATAATGAATGATTGATTTTATAAATATATATATATAAACAGTGAAAAGATATTGACGTTAGTTTGCAATAGCCATTTAACCCTCCTTTTTAATCTGGTTATTTCTCCTTTCTATCCTAAAAATGTTAACATGCTGATATTAAAATTATCTGAACTGCATCATTTCAAAATTAATCCTTCTGACATTATACTTTTGTAACACTTACGATGCAAGTATTTATATAATGCTTCAGCCATTTCAGGAAGTAATAATGTTATTTTTCTCTTCAAGATCTCTTCAAATAACAGATGTCGTAAAAAATACGACGTGCGCGTCCTCATGTAAAATTGCCAAGCGTGCGTACTGGAAGCTTAAAGTTATTATAATTTCATAACATTGCAGAATCAAATTATTTACATTAAATTTGTCTTTTACTATTCAGTTTGCAATAGCCATTTAACCCTCCTTTTTAATCTGGTTATTTCCCCCTTTCTATCCTAAAAATGTTAACATGCTGATATTAAAATTATCTGAACTGCATCATTTCAAAATTAATCCTTCTGACATTATACTTTTGTAACACTTACGATGCAAGTATTTATATAATGCTTCAGCCATTTCAGGAAGTAATAATGTTATTTTTCTCTTCAAGATCTCTTCAAATAACAGATGTCGTAAAAAATACGACGTGCGCGTCCTCATGTAAAATTGCCAAGCGTGCGTACTGGAAGCTTAAAGTTATTATAATTTCATAACATTGCAGAATCAAATTATTTACATTAAATTTGTCTTTTACTATTCTCAGAAAACATAATCTTTTATTGCTAATCAAAAATATTCTTAAGATATGTGGTATTAAATATTATTTTAGTCAGAAGTAGACTTGACTTCAGCCATTGAAGAATTAACTCACAATTTAAATTATATTTTTTTCTTAATATGAAAAAAAAAAATAAAAAAATAAAGAGGCATGTTGTTATGTCATAAAATTTACCTTTGGATATATATAATCTCTGTCCAAATTCTTTGGACAAAGATTTAATAGTCTTTTATGACCATGTTAGTCTTTTGCATGCCAAGAGTCATGTATAGACTATCGCTTTTCGGATTAAATAATATTAGTAACTTCTTTGATTTTATGATGAACTTCCAAACTGTAGAAAAAGCTGTACAATGAAAATGCCGAGAAAGCTCACTGTCTCTTGCTGTGAAGATATGTGTAGACATTAAACAACAGAGGGGGAGAGGGAGAAATATAAGGAATATGTTTTATATATACCAAAAAAAGGAAAAAATGAATAATTAGGGACTTTAGCAAGGTTAATGCAATGTAGAGATTAGATTTTTTTAAATGAAGCTATATTGATATTTGTACTTAAAAAGACATATATATATATGTACAGGATGAATAGAAAAATAATATATAATAATAATAATAATAATAATAATAGCTTGCCTTCAATGTTGGTACTGTACTTTTGGGAGAATGTTGTAGCCTTCTATTTTGTTTTTGCTTAGTGAGTCTTTCTGACAACTTGGTGTCACCTAATGAAGCACTGATCTAGCTTTATTTTGATTTCCTATTAACTTCTGTGTGTATCATTTTAGGAAGATGGTATTCTTCTTATCATATATGCTGCCCTGTATATAATCAACTTTGAAAAATCTGGATGTCTTTGAATATGTTTTAATATTTTTTTCAATGCAGCAATAAATTTTATTATCAGATATTTTTTATGCTTTTCTTTTTATTCTTTAGATGCAGCTGGATATAAAGTATACTGCTACAATAAAGATAAAACTCTGCAGTGGTTGCAAACAAAAGTTAAATATTTAGCCATGTCTCTGGAGAATAAAAATATTCACATAAATGATGGTTCTAAAGCTGCATCATTACAAGTTGATGATGAAGAAGTTGATCCAAGTAATCATTTTAAATTTCTTTATGACTTTTTTAAATTAATAATCATAACTACTGTTAGTTCATATTTTTGAAAGCACTCTTTTTAAATTAAAAAACTGCAAATTAATTTTTGTAACTAAATTTTTTAAATAAGTTAAACTTTTATTTCCTTCCTGAAACTTCTAAATTTTAAAATAATTTTTATAAAATACTGAATTTTGAAGCACATACTTTTTTGATACACATAATAGTGCATGTAAATGGCAGAGATATTCTTCCTCACTTAAATTTAGATAACATTAAGTTTGATAAAAAATATTCAAGATAATTAAACTAAATTAGTATTAAAATTAAATGGATAATGTTTAAGATGGTTTATGTAATATGTGGAAAGAAAAAGATTTTATATTTTTTAAAAATTATTGCTTGGGGGGAAGGAGGTTAACAATGAGTGGATTACTGAACATGATGAAACACTAGATCAAAAGGAATTAGTACTATAACAATATATACAGTCAAAAGTCTTTAATCCAACTCGTCGGGACTTCGGCAGTTCTGGATTATCGATTTTTCCGGATTATAGATCATCAGTTTAAATCTGGTAAGATGCCATGCAGAAATTATAAAATTAAAATATGAAACCATAATTTATGAAATAAAGAGCAATTATGATCTAAAGGGTATCAAAATTTACAAAAAAAAAAAAAAAAAAAGAGAAAGCTTCATCTTTATTTGTTTACTTTATTAAATATTTCTTTCAATGTGCACATGCATAAAGCACTCATGTGTAAAGCATTTCACTATCAGAAGCACTCATGTGTAAACGCTTTACTGGCTTTACGCATGTGCGAAGCGGATGCGCGCATCAAACCCGCATGCATAAGTTTGTGGCTTTGAGGTCCGGATTATAGATCATTCCGGATAATGGACATCTGGATTGCAGACTTTGTACTGTATTTGTATTCTTTCAGAGAATAACACAAAAGTCTGAAATTCTGAATAACCTGTTTACAGGGTCGAGTGAAATTAACACCCTTTTTTATGAGCTGATAATTTATGCCATATCTTTTAAACGTGATGAGATATGTATAGATTTATTATAGGAAATCATAACAACGAATAATGAAGCGAATAACATGACATTTATGAAATGTCAAAAATGTTATCCATCTCATGTGACTACTTAGCTAAAAAAATACCTCTGCTAGATTCAGTACTTCATTCTAGAAAAATAACTATTCTGAGAAGCAGAACTTAAAGGAATGAATGATTTTTTTTTTCTGTTTATATTTAAAAAAATGTTGTATATTCCACATTTCAGATTTACAATTTTATGTTTTCCTCCCAGTTTTGTTTCTTCAGTATCATTCAAGCAAAAGTGACCAAACTATAATTGGTTTTAGTCAACAACTCCTAGGTGATATCAGAGCTTAAACATGATAACATATAAAAATGAAAGTGTGTCTATCAATCATGTACGTAGAACAGTTGAAAGATAAATTCAAAATTTTGAATGTAGGTAATAATTTAGTAATGATTTTTTTTCTGTTTATATTTTAAAAAATGTTGTATATTCCACATTTCAGATTTACAATTTTATGTTTTCCTCCCAGTTTTGTTTCTTCAGTATCATTCAAGCAAAAGTGACCGAACTATAATTGGTTTTAGTCAACAACTCCTAGGTGATATCAGAGCTTAAACATGATAACATATAAAAATGAAAGTGTGTCTATCAATCATGTACGTAGAACAGTTGAAAGATAAATTCAAAATTTTGAATGTAAGTAATAATTTAGTAAATAAGTCATCAAACACCTTAAATTTCAATCTTGTTTTCAAACATATCTGAAAAACTGTACAAGCAGTGATGTTAAGAATGCCTGTGAATTTTTACTAATGACAGCAAATGTCTCTTGTTCTTCACATTTATTGCCAAGCAATGCAAAAGCAACATAAATATTAGAAACATAAGCAACAAAATTTTAAATTATTTTGTTATTTAGTCATTATGAGAGTTTGAAAGAAATCTAGCTGCGGAAGCCAGAAAGGTTTAACCCTTTGCAGCATACCTAAAAGTTTCAATCTGAACACACAAAAAAGCTGAATGAAAAGGAATTTATAGGTTGCTATAGGTTATTACTATAGAACCTTCTTTATTTATACTAAATGGTAGCACAACACAAACCAGTCCACATATTTTAGCCATGTTTAGTTTTTAAAGCCGTCTATTTTCAAAGAGTTTCTCCAGATTTTTTTTTAGGATATAAAAGGAATTGCTTGAAAAGAAATTTCCATGTTATTCTTCTGGCTGTATGCTAATCTCCTTATTCTACATTAGTTTTAAAATTTTACCTTGAAACTTGCCCAAAATTGAACGGTGAACATCAGGTGTGCCCAGAGTAGGATCACTGAAATACTAGGACCAGACCAACAACTGTATGTTTGTTTCCCTGCAGCTCTGTGGTGAGCTCATTCACAATAGAAAGGTGGGTCTACATGTGTGTTTCATTTCTTTTTTTCCTTTCTTTCTCTCTCTATTTATTTATTTTTGAGGAGAGGTTTGGTTATCAACTACGAAATTGTTGGGGTGATTTTCTGAAGGTCACGGGTAATTTTATCAGTTATCTGTTTGGTTTCTCATTAGAGCAGTTCTCTTTTTCTCAAAGAACTTTTGTTAGTGCTATGTTTTGGTAGTTTTGAGTTGTAGATGTTTATTTAATTTTATTTAAGTTTATCATTTCTAATTGCAGATCTAATACAGTACAAAGTCCATAATCCGGATGTCCATTATCCGAAATGATCTATAATCCGGACCTCAAAGGCCACAAACTTTCTTTTTGTATGCTTTACGCATGCGCGTTTAATGTATAATGAACGTTATAAGCTAGGCTAAAATTATCTTTAGTGATTCTAAGGCATTTCAGTTAATGTTGCAGATTGCGCTGTTCTTTAGTCTTCTAATTGGATCCAGCTTATTCTTTTTTTGCAGACTGTTAGAGCAATTTTATTAAAATTAACCTTGAACTTTCGATTATGTCAAAAAGAGTTTCCAATTCTGGAGCTGGCAAAGGATCTACAAAGCGAAAGCATGTTTCGATTTCCATCAAACAAAAAGTGGAATTGCTGCAGAAAATGGATAAAGGCATATCCATCTCAAAATTATACAAGGAGTATGATATTGGAAAGTCAACTGTATATGACATAAGCAAAAAGAAAAAGGAACTTTTTGAATCTTTTGTGGATTCCAATACCCCACTTGCAATGAATAACAGAAAAAGGGTTCGTTATGGTAAAAGTGATGATCATGACAAAGTGATGATTGAATGGGTCAGACAGCATTGCGGTGAGGACATGCCATTGATGGGTCCAATGCTAATGGTTCAAGCCAAAATCATTTCATGAAGAAATGAACTTAAACACTGAGTGCACTTATTCAACAAGTTGGTTAACCAAATTTTAAAATTGCCATAGTATAAGACAATTAAAAATTACAGGTGAAAAAGCTTCAACTGATACTGAAGCTGCTGAACAATTTTCGGACATCACAAACTAAAGATGAAATCTTTCAGTTATTGGATTTTGTAAAGAAATGTGGAGAAGCAGTAATAAATGATGGTATAACAGAAGTTTTCCATTGCGATGACAATGCCCCAATTATCAATCAATTAACAGATGGTGAAATCCATAGTATGGTTCTAGATCCAGAAAATACCACTTTCAATAGTGAAGAAAGTGACAGACAGGTTATTGAAAACGAAAAAATTTCGATTGACAAGTTAGTCGGTATTCTCGACAAGGCATTTACAGGACTTGAACAGTGGAACTTTGTAACTGAACAAAAAATTCTGTCTGTTTATAGAATTAAAGAGAAAGTATTAGCACAAAAAACGAAGCAACTTAAACAACTTACATTGAAAGAAATGTTCAATAAAGTAAACATATCAATATTAAGCTTACTCTTTTTTTGTAAATTTTGATACCCTTTAGATCATAATTGCTCTTTATTTCATAAATTGTGGTTTCATATTTTTAATTGTATAATTTCTGCATGCCATCTTATCAGATTTAAATTGATGATCTAAAATTAAGAAAAACCCTTAATCCGGAATCACCGAAGTTCCGACGAGTCCGTATTATGGACTTTGTACTGTATTAGTTAATTTTTTTTCTGATTTTTAATTATTTTGCAAATGGATGGGAGAGAGCTGACCGTTTCGGAAGCACTGAAAGTGGCACACGAATTGCCTTCAAGTAGTGAATCTGATACGGATCCTGGTACACGTGCAAAACATGCAATGTTGTGTTGTGCTTTTTCAAAAGTGGTGTCACTTTCTTCAAAAAGTACCACCATGAAAAAAATAGACAGTGTAAATATGAAATGCAAATAATGTAAATATCATATACCTAAGTTACTTTTTTTTCATTTATACGCATGTAATCATCATATAATCAAGAAGAGCTTTTATTGGGGGGGTTTAGCAGGCCTCCCGGTGGCACATCCTGGGTAATGCTAAATCCTGTACAGTGCTCAGAATCTATTTTTTTTTTAATCATAGGCAAATACTTTTACTCTGTTATGCGCTTTCCAGCAATGCTCGCTTCAGCACTCTTTTTGAAGCTGTATTCATTCAGTGAGTCTGCTTCGGGCACACCCACAGAATTAATATGGTAAATACTATCGTTACAAAATTTTACCTGTGTAAGGTCTGATTAGACTGCCCATCTTTATTTATTTATTTATTTTATGGAATTTCTAACTTTAAAAGGTAGTGTGCCGGAAAGGGCTAAAAATTAAATGATCTGTGAATTGCAGTTGCACACGTTGTAAAGCATTTATGTACATTTTGATTTGTTTCTGCCACTTTACTTTTGTTGGCACTTCCATAGCTGTCTTGGCAAAACTAGATAATATAGTTATTTAATAAATAATTAATAAAAAAATTTCTAGTACAGTCAAAAGTCGTTCATCCGGACTCGTCGGGACTTCGGCGATTCCGGATTATCGATTTTTCCGGATTATAGATCATCAGTTTAAATCTCGTAAGATGGCATGCAGAAATTCTAAAATTAAAAATATGAAACCGTAATTTATGAAATAAAGAACAATTATGATCTAAAGGGTATCAAAATTTACAAAAAAAGAGTAAGCTTAATATTGATATGTTTACTTTATTAAACATTTCTTTCAATGTAAGTTGTTTAAGTTGCTTCGTTTTATGTGATAATACTTTCTCTTTAATTCTATAAACACACATAATTTCTTGTTCAGTTACGAAGTTCCGCTGTTCAAGTCCCGTAATCTGTGTCGAGAATACCGACTAACTTGTCAATCGAAATTTTTTCGTTTTCACTAACCTCTCTGTCACATTCTTCATGTCTTTATCCATTTTTTGGAGCAATTCCACTTTTTGTTTGATGCACATCGAAACATACTTTCGTTTTGTACGATCCTTTGGGAGCTCCAGAATCGGAAATTCTATTTGACATAATCGAAAGTTCAAGTTTACTTTTATAAAATTGCTCTTACGATCTGCAAAAAATAATAAGCCGGATCCAATTCGAAGATTAAGGAACAACGCAATCATCAACATTAACTGAAATAGATAATTAGATAATTTTAGCTTATACCGTCCGTTATACGTAAAACGCGCACGCGAAAACGTATTCTGCAGTTGCTCACACGCATATGCGCAGTCGTAAAAGGTCTTACGTGCACACGTAAACGCCTATGCGCATGTGTCAATGTGGCGCATGCGCAGAAAGTTTTTAGCTTTGAGGTCCGGATTATAGATCATTCCGGATTATGGGTGTCCGAATTAATGACTTTTGACTGTATTCGCTTTTTAAAATCCATTTTTATAGGCATCATTAAAAATTATCTCAAAAATAGCTTGCATTGTTTTAATTATTAAACAAAATCGGATTTAGTTAACAACATTGATATTTCAGAGTGCTGAAATTTTCATTTAAAAAATTATGGAAAACATTACACATGATATTTTTCTCCTACAGCTACTGCTTTATTCACAAAAAATTGTTTGATATATTTATTATAAATAAATAAATGTCCATTGCATATAAAGCCCAGATTTAATTTTTCTTTTTTAATCCAGTGGTTGGGAATTTGCTAATAAGCTATTTGTACAAAATTATTGTCAAACCCACTGATCATTTACCCATCATCTAATCATTCAGAAACCTGCACTATATATTTGTATAATTTCTGCATGCCATCTTATCAGATTTAAATTGATGATCTATAATCCAGAAAAACCCCTAATCCGGAATCACCGAAGTTCCGACGAGTCCGTATTACAGACTTTGTACTGTATTAGTTAATTTTTTCTGATTTTTAATTATTTTGCAAATGGATGGGAGAGAGCTGACCATTTTGGAAGCACTGAAAGTGGCACACGAATTGCCTTCAGGTAGTGAATCTGATACGGATCCTGGTACACGTGCAAAACATGCAATGTTGTGTTGTGCTTTTTCAAAAGTGGTGTCACTTTCTTCAAAAAGTACCACCATGAAAAAAATAGACAGTGTAAATATGAAATGCAAATAATGTAAATATCATATACCTAAGTTACTTTTTTTTCATTTATATGCATGTAATCATCATATAATCAAGAAGAGCTTTTATTGGAGCTTTTATTTTTCACTATAGCAAAGAAAAAATATTGCATTGGCAAGAGAATGAAAATTCAACATAAAATCAGCTAAATTTTACAAGTCAAACTTTATTCACGATCATACCATCTTAGTGGCAAAGTTTTAAATAAATCTATGCATAATGAACTTACTTGTATAATTATCACATGCTTATCATATGTAACAAGTTAAAAAAGTTGAATATTTTATATGGTATGCAAATTAAAAATGCATATGTTTATATGTAAATAATTTATAATGCTATTCTTTTTAATAAAAATGTTTTCACTGGTCAGTAAATATCATGTTCTTTTTCTCCCATTTAGAAGTGCTAATGGAATATTCATGTCATATGGTATCCGAATATCTCTCAGATGAAGTATCAAAAGACTTATTTCTTAGTCTTGGGTATGGACTACAAATTATTATATTTTCTAATTGTACTGACACAGAAATCATTTAACAAAAAGCCATGCTGCAAGAAATGCAGTGGCGTAGCTAGGGTGGGGGTAAGGGGTACATTTGTGCCCGGGCGCAGCATCCAATTGGTGCCAAATTGATGCTAACCAATTTTTAAATGGAATGCTTTCCATTCTTTGCATACAGAAAGGGGTGCAAATTCTTCAGTTGTCCCCAGGCGCTGGAAACTCTAGCTACGCCCCTGAAGAAATGTGTGCGAGTTAATATGAAATCAAAGTATATGAAATAATGGACAATTAATATTACAATCAAATGATAAAATTAATAAGACAGACTATTATAGAGTAGAAGATAAAAAATTCACACAGCTTGGAACGGGTTGTGTATATTATAAGATTTTTTGGGATTTGTTGTCATTAATGAAAAATTATTAAATTCAGACTTAAAAAAATCATTTTGACTTTTTTTAACAAAGAAATATATAAAGTATGCTATAATTTTACACAAAATAAAATACATAGAAAAACACATCAAAATTATTTTTTGTTTTTTAAACATGTTTACATAGTTTGTTTTAAAATTTCAGAAGTTTTAGTTTGGTTTGAGTTTCTTTCTCAAATTTTACAAAATAATTACTTACTGATCAATAATTACTTAATTTGGCAGTTATAACTTATTTTTCCTCTAGTACTTGCAGTAAATCATGAATTTATTCAATCATGAAGCATTAATCATGAATTAGTATGTGTCATTCTGATAAGTTAAAAAAGTACTATTTTTAATTCTATAATAATAATGTTTTTTGACAAAGGGGCAGCATTTGCTACCATATGTTCTTAGCACAAAATATAGCCAGAAATAACAGCAACAACCATTAAGATATATTAAGAATGCATTTCAGCCTTTCAATATGAATAATTTGTTGCATCAGGTTCTTCTATTTACAATAAAATTAATGTAAAATTCCTTACCTGCTGCATCTTCAGTGTTCTCGATACCAGGCTTCTAATAATCACGTTTTACAGTAAGAGTTTCTATTAGAATTAACAGGCCATCTTGCCTTTTTTTTTTTTTATTCAAATAAAACACTATTATACACTATTTACAAGGTAGGTGATAATTATTTTAAGACAGTACATTTTAATTCTCTGAAGTTTCGTCTTTACGCTCCTCAGAGCGGTTCCAATCTAGTCTCGTTCTCGGAACTCAATTACAGCAAAAGTAAAGGAAGAGATGTTCGTCATCTTAGTGGCAAGAATGTGACATCCTCCCACCTTTTGATTTTACCTCGATAAGATGGGGAAAAATAAAAAAAAAAAAAAAAAAAAAATTATCAATAATCAAACAAAAATTCAAGTACAACTTTCACAAATATGAAAAGTAACTAATGCTCTAAAAATTAATACTTACAAAGAAGGATTACACATCTAAACATTTTCTGCATTACATTCATACCATATCCAGATAACATGTTCCAATTGACTACTGTTAGGACAATTAAATTTCTAAAATACTGAAAAGAAACAAAAATTAGTATAGCAATTTAAAAATATGTAACAGGTTTTACAGTTTTACGTCCATATCTAGTTTGATAGTTCATATTACTGTCACACTTATCGGCAGAGTTCTTTCTGTTCATGGTGAAGTCACTAAACAAGTTAGGTCTATCAAGTTCGAGAGGATAAATACGTTTCACAGGTCTTAGGAGTTCACCCGTTGCAGTTTTCACTCTGACAACACGTACTTCATTGTCTTTCCCAGGATATATTTCTACAACACGACCTATTGGCCAATCTATTCTTTTCTTGTTGTTGCTGCTGACAAACATCAAGTAATTTTTGTTGATAGTCCGAGTAGATCGTTTAGATGGTTTTTGCACTAGGATAGCTAAATATTCATCATGAAATCTTTTGCGAAAGTGTTCTCTTAAGTTCTGCAAGAACTTGTATCTTTGTTGTATCTCTCAATAAAATTTTAAAAGGTAAAAAGAAATCTCTTACCTTTTCTTTCACCCGGGAGCCGAGCTTGTTCCATTCTAAATTCTTATTCGATGAAATATCTAAATAATTCCAAGCTTTTGCATAAAGACTGACACTTCTGTTTAAATAAAGATATTATATTTAGATACATTTATACATTTTATATACAATTATTAGGTTACATGAAAATTACGCGCTCTCCAGCTAACAGTCATTCAAGTTCGGGTTCAGAGTTCTAACTACGTTCTTACGTAGGTTTATTTTCGAGTTTAGATGTAATGGTGCTGATAGTTTGGAGTTTAGATGTGGTGGCGCTGATAGTTCGGAGTTTAGATGTAACATCTTTTTGTCAGATTAATGGTATCCAGGTAGTCTAAGTCTGGTATTCCGACATCGTGCACATCTTGTAGAAACATTGAAGGAGTTAGTGCCGTAAGATCATTTGGATCTTCTGAAAGGTACGTAAGGGGTCTTGAGTTAATCACTGATTTGATATCACAAAGTATAGTCAACATTTCCTCGTAAGAGACAGGACTTTCCGAGAACATTTCTCAACATCTTCTTCACTGCTTGTACCAACCTCTTCCACCAACCGCCCCACCATGAAGCAGTTGGGGGATTAAACTTCCACTGTATTCTCATACTAGTTGAATGACATTCTATTTCTTTCCAATCTATCTGATCTTAACAGATTTTCAGTTCCAACAAAATTAGTGCCATTGTTGCACTGTAAATAATACTTGGACGACCTCTTCTGGCAATAAATCTCCTTAATCCCAAGATGAATGCATTTGTTGATAAACTTTCTATCAGCTCAAGATATATCGCACGATAGACTGCGCAAGTAAAGAGCAAGATCCATGCCTTTTTTCTTTCCTTAAATAAAGAGGACCGGCTACATCGACTCCGGTCACTTCAAACACCAGAGCATCTCGAACTCGATCTTCAAGAAGAGGTGCTGGAACAGTCTGTATATTCTTTGCGCTATATCTTCTACAGCGAACGCACTTCATAAGAACTTTACGTACTGTTTTTCTTCCTCTTAGGACCCAGAATTTCTGTCGAATATTGGCTAGTACGAATTGCATACCAGCGTGGGATAGTCGTAAATGGTAATCTAAAATTAACCTATGAACTAAGTCATGATTTGAGGGCAATACAATTGGACAGAGAAAATTTTCTTCTTCCTCTCTTCTAGTAATCTTGGTCTTTAACCAAATAAGGCCATCTGAGTCAAAAAAGGTACAAAGGTTGCTAACTTTAAGTTCTTTGCCAAATGCTTCTATCTGTATTATCTTGCATATTTTCTTTCTACAGGTTTCTATTTCAGGGACCGTGAGTTCTACCTGATTGTTTAGAATCTGGTCTTTTGCAGTTGTTGATAAATCTGCATATCCAAGCAGTTATTCTTAACATTTTATGGTAAGATGAATATTTCTCAAAAAAATGTTCTACCCTTTGCGTATTTAGTGCAGAAATTGACTGATTTCCTTTTTTCTGAATTCACTATTTCCATGTCCGGTATTTTCCCTTTGTCTAGGCCATTCTTCCTGATTTTTCTTCAGCCAGTCGGGGCCCTCCCACCATCTAATTACTAAAAGTTGTTTGGCGGTGCAACCTCTTGATGGGAGGTCAGCTGGATTTTTTGTTCCAGCAATATGTTTCCACGTTTTTGGATCCGTCAGTTTCCTAATCTCCCTGATTCTGTTTTCCACAAAGACAGCCCAGACAATCTTTTCCCTTTGAATCCATGTCAAAACTGTTGTAGAATCCATCCAAAAATGCGTTTCCACATTTTGCCATTGTAAACGATTTAAAACAGAAGAGCATAGTCTAGCACCTATCGTAGCAGCTATCAATTCCAGACGAGGGATCGTAATAGATTTCATGGGAGCTACTCTAGACTTCGATGCCAACAGATGAACTTCAACTCCAGAATTCGTCACAGTTCTCAAGAAAACTGCAGCAGCATACGCATTACTACTGGCATCACAGAATGTGTGAATGCTGCAGAACTTTCTATTGTCCTTGCTGGAATGTATCCAACGTAGGAGGGATATTTCTTTTAAGAGAAAAAGGCTTTTATACCAATTCACAAAATTTTGTTTTGTACTCTCGTCGACTTCAGTATCCCAAGAAATTCCTGTTTTCCATAGGTTCTGCAACAATATTTTAGGATACAAGAGAACAGGACTCACAATTCCAATAGGATCAAATATTTTTTGTGTTACAGCGAGAATTGTTCTCCTCGTTATTATACCCATTTCAAAACCTTTTAGCCAATTCAGATTGAAAGTTAAATTATCTTTCTGAGAGTTCCATAACAGACCCAATACGGGTGAAATAGTTTCCCGTTTCAAGTTATCTCCGTTATGTAACCAACCTCGAAGATTAAACTTTCCTTCATACATTATTTCTCGAGATTTTTCGATGAATTGGATCATCTCGGATTTTTTGTCAAAACTGGCAACAACATTATCTACGTAGAAGCTACACAGGAGTTTAGCTATCATCTCCGTATCATATGAGGAATTTTTCATGTACTTTTGTATATGGAATTCTATAACAGCTGCCAAAAAAAGGACTACTCTTAACCCCAAATACTACTCTAGTATGACGAAATATTTTCGTTTTCTTTTCTTCCACATCATTCCACCAGAAAAAAACCGAAGCCAGTCTCCTATCTTGAGGCCTTACACTGATCTGTAAGAAAAGCCTTCTCAATGTCTGCTATAGCAGCAAACTTGCCTTCCCGAAATCTCAACAAAAGAGATGGAATTAGTTCTATCAAATTTGGTCCACACTCCAAACACTGATTTAGAGAAGGAGACGATTGTTTCCTCGCAGACGCATCAAACACCAGGTCGAATTGGGTGTCGAGCTATTTGTTTTTTTTTGATTTAATCAACGGTCTATGTGGCAAAGAATGTCCATAGTCAACCTCTATATTTTCTGTAACTTCTTTGATCACTCCTAAGTTACACCAGTCATTAAAATCTGCATTGTATG